GAAAGTATTTTAATGTTTTTAACTGATGATGCACCTGTTTCATGTCAGTGCTTAATCATTTTTATCCAAACATTTGAATAAAACGTGAAAAATGTTTGTTTTGACTGTTTTAGTAAAAGACACAAACTACATAGAAACTTCTAAAACATTGATCATCATGATATTAAAGTTAAGTCATAAATCTTTAAGCCTCTGAGAACTTGAACAACATTCACTCAGTTTCCATTTTTCATCAGAGGAGTTGTCCAGAGATCTTCGTTAAGCTTAGTAGTAAATAGTGTAAATAAATATTTGCATATTCAAAGATTTTTCAATGGCGGAGATGGTATTTAAGCTCATTGAACTTTTTGTTGAAAAACCACATGAGACAAGTTATTTTGAGTATTTTAATGTTTGTACCTTTGACTGTTTTATTACTTAACTGAAAAAGTCTTTGTTGACAGAAACCGTTTCAGACGTCACAAGTGAATCCAGGATCTGTGACTGTTCTTCTCTGGACCTCCATGATGCCATCAGACCTGGTTTCTGTGTTAAATATCTGCAAAGTCTTAATAAAGAAAACCAGGATTTCCAAACCTTTCCATGTCAGATTAAACCCCTTCAGAGCAGTGTATCTCAGCCCGGGTTGTTGGGGATCACAGTACAGGATTATTTCTATTATACTGATGTTTCCTGAACGTTGCTTTCTTCCTACTGAAATACTGAATACTACTCGGTCTCTGTGTCCTCCAGTCAGCTGGAAAAACTCCTTTGGTTAAACTTTACATCACACTGAGTCTGCAGCCTGTCAGAGGTTCTGAGTAAATGTTGGTTTGTTTGCTTCGATCAGCTGCTGCTCAGATCTGAACTCTGGCTGATAGTCACTGACTCCTTAATCAGTCATTAATTGTTCTTATGTGTAATAAATCAGACAGCAGTGTTATATTAGTTAAAAGTACGGAGGACGAGAGTAAAAAGGGAAGCATGTTGAAAGTATTGTGAAATGAGCGGAGTGACAGCGTTTAGCTGCGTCAGAGCAATAAATCATGTAAAGAGACAAAAAGAGGAAGTGAAATGGTTAAGAAGGGATAAATCGGCTTTAACCGTCGTTCAACCAAGACTGTGTGCTCGTTGTCACGTGGACGTTACAGGAAGAGAAAATATATAAGCAGTAGAGAGTTTGTGGTTCTTCCTCTGCAGATCTCACAGCTCGAAGCTCCTCTTTGGACTGACCAAACCAAAGAACATCAACACAGAGATTTGAGTTTAACATCAGAGAACACTTGAGGATTCTCTTCAGTGGACGTAAAGAGGTCGAGTGACCGAAGTCCAAACCATCTGAGGAAGCATCAGGACACCGAGGTCTTCATCGTGACCTGAGAGTCTGTTTGGTCCTCGGCTTCAACTCGCTGTTTATCTGGTAACACAGGATGAAGGTCAGTTCTCCATCACAGCCGGTCTTACAACTCCAAGAAAGCTCCAGTAGAAACACACTGCACTTAAACTGAAAACTAAGATACAACATGTTTTCAACAAATTCAAGAAAAACACAATTTAAAAAGAGACACAAAATCAACAAACCGCATTTTCTCAAACAACAAACAAACTAGAAGCTGAAGTTAAAATAACAAAAACATAAAACACAGCTGATGTAAAGGAAACTTCCCACAGAGACAGCACATGCAGACTGTTAATAAGTTTTGGGTGCACCGCTCAAATCTGCAGGGGAATGGAAAGTCAATAAAGGAAAATATGAGATTCATTTTCATCCTCGCCGAGTAGAAAAGTATATTTCAAAGGCAATATCACCATCAAAACCTTCATCCAGCAGATTAATAATGCAACTGAATATCTTCTAATACACATTGTCTAAAACTAACTATACATTTGATGAAAAGAAACTAAAATACAACATTTATTACACATTTTATAAAATTATACCCAGGTGTCCATGTTTGACCATATTTACTGTTTACATGTTGATTTTTACTGGGAGTTTTTCTCAAAACACTATATTATAATATTGATAAATACAATAAATATTGATCAGTAATTTTATGACCGAAGAACTCCCGTACTTTACAGACCGATAACTTGAGACTGGTTCAACTGGTTAAAAATGGTAAGTGTAGTGGAGTTAATGATTCCACCTGCCATCACTGTTTTAAGTTATTGCTCCTACGATGCAGGATGAGGACGGAGGGAAAGTAGTCTGGTCATTTAGCAGCTGCAGGAATTAGAAGATGCAGGAAATGTGGAGGTGAGCATGAGATGTTTGATTGTAAGGAGAAAGTGTGGATCTTGTGGTGGGGGGCACGTTGCTGGAAGTTTTGAGGTTGAGCAATATAAACAGGGTGTGAGGGTGCAGCAGTATAGGGGGATAAATAAAGTGATGTCTTATGCTGCAGCGATCCTAAAGGTTGCAAAATGTGAGATAGATAAAATAAAGAGGAGAGCGGGGGAAGGCTGCCCTCTGGTGGCCTGTGTAACAAAAGATTAAGTGGCTTTCATTGTTGAAGTGCTGTGTGACATGAAGCTGCTGAGAGAGCTCCATCTGCCCTCCACAGCTATGTGTTCTCAAGAGACAGAAGGGGAAATAATGGGGATCGAATGGACGACGACGATAGATTATTAATGTTTTTTATCCTAAAACCAACTATGAGTTTTGTTACATCGGAGTATGTTTGTATCAGGAAGGTTTTAAATGTTTCTGGTGGCGGGTGTGCAGTGGTATCCAGTACAGGAGAGAAAATGTAGAATCACATCTTGAGTGTGGAGATAGATGAATGGAGTTCAACAGGAAGGTTTTCAATTATTTTTACAACCGTTGCCTTCAGTTGGAAATGAAGAAGTTAGATGCAGTAATGAGCCAAGTGAGGTCTCCAGGGGTGAGATTTTAATGCACATTTTCTCTGTACGGCAGCAAAAAGGGTGAAATATGGAGAATTTCCTGGATAGATACTCACATGTGATGTTGAATGATGTGAGACCAAGATTACAGACTGGAAGTGGGAAATTGTCACAGATTTAACTATGAATGAACTAGATGTGGGGAATGGATGGATCGTTACACCATGAGAAGTGATCATTCCCCTATTTTAAGTTAGATCTGGTGAAGTTTTGCAGATGGAGAAGGAGCTGAATTTTCAAAGATTTACTAATATTTTATCATTATTTTTAATGTTCTCTCTCAGATTTGTGAAGTGATCCACTGTCTGGCATCAAGTGTTTGTCACATTCTGACCATAAAAAGGTTTAACTAGTGTTTCCCACGGCGGCCCGCCACAGTCTAACTTGTTTCAAAATGAACCAAATATATTTTTACACATCTCATAACATTACTTCAAATAATGCACTCTAAATACTCCTTCCATAAACAAACATATCCCAATATAAGTTGGTTTTAAATATGTATCTTGTACACAAACTCACTCTTTTTTTTAAAAGCATCCACAAATTTGCCATCAAGCACCTGACATTCCCCTGGAGGATAAACACATGAAGAATCTAACTATCATTGTCGTCGTCTGGAGGGCAGATTGAGCTCCCTCAGCAGCTTTTACCACACTTCTTACTACATCTGAATTATTTTTGGACTGCTTCATGTCACAAACCAGGAAGTTCAACTTACTCTCCACCACTGAATCTCCTGTTACACAGGCTACTACAGGGCAGCCTTCCCCTTCTCTCCTCCTTATTTTATTTACCTCACCACATTCACCAACCTTTTAGATTGCCTCAGCATAACACATCCCTTTATTTATCTATACTTCTGCACTTTCATACCCTGTTTCAACGTCAGCCACCGCTTGGAACAGAGGTTTGGACCCAGACACAGAGCAGGTACTGGTGAATAAGCGAGGTTTGTTGCAGCACACGGTGAAACTTACAGGTATAAGCAGTCTGAAACACATCCGGTAATAAACCAACTGAAAGTAAATCCAAAGTAATTCACAAAAACATAGTGAGACACGATACACACAGAACAAAACACTGGAGAATTGAAAAAAATGAACTGGCAAGGAGTGAAAGAAAGACGACCGCTTCAATACACAGGTGAGGGAGAAACTAATTAGACACAAGTGAACCCACTAAAACAATCAGACAAGCACAGGAAGTAAAACATGACAACACACTAGGAGCAGACTAAACTACAAACTAAAACAGGAAGTAAAGCTACAGACAAGACACCAGCATAAATGAAACTAAATACAGCAGAGAACAAGGAAACAAAGATCAACTATCAAGACCTAAACAAGAACACAGAGGCAATGGATAAAACAGACAGGACATTTAACTAAATAACAGAAAAACACCACAATAAAACCCAAGACCGTCACACCCTGTTTATATTTCTCAACCTCAAAACTTCAAGCAACGTTCCCCCCACCACAAGAACCACACTTTCTCCTTACAATCAAACATCTCATGCTCACCTCCACATTTCCTGCATCTTCCTCTACATGCAGCTGCTATATGACCAGACAGGAACAACTGCTAAGCAGGTTTGAGGCATGAATCATCGAATTTCCAGGATTAACAGGAGTCAGTTAGAAGAGCACTAGTGAACACAGAGGAGTCCTTCTGGCACTGTAGGCTAAGTATTATATTATTTTATTATAAAACTTATTTTACATTCACAAATGCAAATGGTCTAAAAAGAAACCACAAATACAACATTTAAAATATTATATTGAAGCATTATCTGGTCTGAAGCAATTAAAACAGTTAAAATGTGTAAAGATGTACATATATATTTGTTGCCTCTCACATGATGTCCCTGTGTATCTAGTTGTGTCATCTTCTATTCCGTCGTTTTATTTAGGCTACTTTTGTTTTGGCTGAAGATTTTCCTATGAGATAAATAAGATCCAATAAAAACAGTTGCATTTTTTTTTATTAAACACAATATAACGATGTTAACCTGTGTATGGAGATATAGAAATGTTGCTGTAGTTTCTGTATTCTGTCCTCACACGGAACTCACCGTGCAGCAAAGGCGTTATCCCGTACGCATGCGCAGAACAACGCGGAACTCCACTGGAATAGTTCTGAAAGGGTTTTGTAGCCAAGTGCTGATCGTTTTGTAGAATAACGTGTTAGTTTGTAGAGTTAAATATTGTCGTCTTAAAGCAGATTACCTTGTTTACGTGTTTATTATTACGTGTTTATTCATTAAACCTCTCAGCTAACGTCGGAACCGTCAGATCCTCCTGTATAATCATGTTTATTAGCCTCAGGCTGGCAGCTCTGTGTTTCTGGGTCCTGCTGCTGGATTTATGTGGAATAATAAAAACACTCGGACAATCACACGGTAAGAAAACTAGCGACGGGTAAAAACCGAGGCCTTTAGAAACAATGAAACGTCCGATACATTTGAGCCGGAACTGTGTCGATGTTTCTTAACAACTCAACACCGATCTCCATGTTACACTGGTGACTTTTTATATCAGTTTCACATCTTCATAGTTTATTCTGCGGAACCACCTACAGAGTTGAACGCGTCTTATGACCATTAGGAGTCCTCTGGGACTCTAATTTAAACTGAAATAAATAAAACAAATCTGTTGTTATGTTTTATACCGAAGCCCTTTATTTATTTACTCCCTTTAATCGTGACAGCGTGTTGGTTTCTTGTTATCTCGAGATAACAAAACAATTACCCTGATAAAGAAGCTCCTTCACTTTCTTACTTTTTTCTTTTTAATAATTTGCGGAACGGTTGTCCGGGTCACTGGTTAACGCAATCTAATTGTTGTGTGTTTGATCCTTGCATAGGATTGTTTTTTAAATCCTCTTCAACAAAGTAATTATGAGTCTGTTGTTGTGTGCTGGAGTTTGTGCCTCCCAGCGATTGATCCACATCCATCAACCTATAGATTTATTTTAATCTCTCCATCTTCCCCAGGCTCATCACTATCTATTTCATTAATAATCACTATTATTTTCAAATTCATGCTCCTGTGTAATATGTGTACATGTGTATTATGTGCAGTATTGTGAGTATTACTGAATGTTGCACTTGGTAACTTTACAGTCTCTGCAAACAAATCTCTCCAGAACTTTTCAAAGTGAACCTCTGAAATAGCATTCTGGAAATGAAAGGTTGATGGATGTGGACCAATCGCGCACACACCAGCACATTGTGGCGTTTTTTTTAATATATGTGCAGCAACTTTTAAATATTTGTAGCCTATTGGGCGCCAGCCAGGGTAACCTGACGTGTCGTTGTGTCACAGATTCCCACCCACAAAGGATACATGTAATATGACAGTATACCCTCAAAAGTAAATATGACACGTTTCAATGAAACTGAAGAAACTCTCACACTCAGAAATCAGTTTTTAAGTAAATCAAGAAAATATTCAACAAAAACAGGGCGTGGTTTCAACAAATAACTCAACCAGTCAATAAAACCATCAGAAATAACAAAAATACTCAGTCCCTTGGGGATAGTTGTGCTTAATAAGTTCAGCTTTTTGCACAATCAAGGAGGGAGAAACAAAACGCCCAGCAGGAGCTCACGCCAGGACCCAAAAGTTCATCAAAGTAATGCAGTTCTTTGTCCTCAGCAACCACTGTCCTCTCTGTTGAGCTGCATTAACTTTCCTTTTTAAGAAAATTTCTTTTTAATGACATTACTCTCATTAGGTGACCAGGTGACATCACACCAGGGGAGGGAAATTCAGCTGAGTGACTTTCTATCTCTTTTCTAACTTTAGCTCAAAATGGGACCAAGAGGTCAGTCTTAGAGAGGTTTAGTTGAAGGCGGTAAGCCTTCATCCATGCAGGATATGTCTGAGAGACAATCTGTGATCCGTGCTGAGACGGTGGGATCGTCTGGCGGGAAGGATAGGTAGAGTTGCGTATCGTCTGCGTAGCAGTGGTAAGAGAAGCTGTGTGATCGAATGATCGGCCCCAGTGAGGTGGTGTAAATTGAGAAGAGAAGGGGCCCTAGCACTGAGCCTTGGGGCACCCCTGTGGAGAGGCAGTGGGAGGAGGATAATTGTCCTTGCCACAAAATATTGCCCTGAGAGGTAGGATTCGAACCACAGGAGTGCTTTACTCGAGATGCCCATTGCTGAGAGAGCAGATAGCAGGATCCTGTGGTTGACTGTGTCAAAGGCAGCTGATAGGTCAAGCAGGATAAGAACCGAGGATTGGGCTGCAGCTTTAGCTGACCTTAGGGCTTCTGTTACAGACAGAAGAGCCGTTTCAGTAGAGTGGGCACTCTTAAAACCAGACTGATATGGATCTAGGAGGTCGTTCCGTGAGAGGAATTCTGAGACCTCTTTGAAGACTGCCCGTTCGATAGATTTGGATAAAAATGGTAGAAGAGAAACTGGCCGATGGTTCTCAACTTGAGTTGGGTCGAGTGATGGCTTTTTTGAGCAAGGGTGTAAGCCGCCCTTTTGAAAGTAGTCGGGAATGACACCCTGCCAGAGCAAATCATAAAAATTGATTTTGTGATGTCGTGGTTTCACAGCGCCCCTATCGATTGCCCCTGCAGAAACGGAAGATTGTAAAGAAGAAAACAAGATATGCTCCAGCAGGGTATCATTGTGCCTTCCATGTCTGTGAAGATTCTCAGTCATCCAGGTCATAGTTATCCAAAGAAGGTTGAAGTCAAGGTCAACTGGACTTGGTTGAAGATACTAGAAGATGTTTCGTCTCTCATCCAAGGGACTTCTTCAGTTCTGACAGGCAGGGAAACTAAGCTATTTAACCTCAGTGGGGTCATTTGCCAGGATCGTCGATACCGCTGGTTCGTTAGTGTTCCTGGCTGATGTAACGACAGTCGTTATGGTCGTTAGGACTACCCGAGGCCAAGACGGAGCGACCGATCTTCTGAAGATATCTTAGTATCTTCAACCAAGTCCAGTTGACTTTAACCTTCTTCGGATTGTGCCTTCCAGTTCACAATGGGAATCCCCTGTGGAGCTGGTACCCAAGAAGGTACCCCGGTTTTGTGTCGAATTGCGTTGTGTTAACCAACATAATGAGGGAGATGCCTATCTCTACCAACCATTTCTGAGATACTAGAATATCTGGTGGGTTCAGCGGTGTTCACCACCTTAGATCTCAAATGTAGTTATTGGCAGGTGGAGATGGACCCTGAAAGTCGAGCCCTCACGGTGTTTGTCTTTTGGCTTGAAGGGGGCCCCAGCTCCATTCCAGAGGCTAATTAATCAAGTGCTCCGGAGCTGCTTAAGAGACAGCTGTATGGTGTATTTGGATATTATAATTTATCAGCAGTGTTATTTGTGCTCAAGCTGTGCCAAGTCAAATGTCAAATGAATGTCCGCTAAATATAGCCCTCTCCTCAGCCCCCTCAGAGTGCAGAGGAGAGGGCTGGAGTGTATGCCATGGACCCTCATGGTGGAGCAGTTGTTTATCTGCCAGCATAAAGCCAGGATAGTGGCAGGTGGCTGCAGGCTCAGCTTGATTAGACAAAAATGTATTTTTACTGATTCCTTTTCAGACTTTAACACGGCTAACTGATGGAATTATCGTCATCAAAACATTCTACCTAAAGCCTTTGTTTAGAATAATGTAATTCTAATAAACTCTATGAATTTTCTTTTGTTTGTGAACAAGCTGCATCAAACAATATGTGCTTTCTAACTTTTTTTCTGCTATGGAACCACTCGTTTTGCGTTTGTTGTTGATCCAAGAGTTCAAACCATCAAATAAAATATTTTTTCTCTCTTCCACTTCAGTGGTCAGCACCTAGACCTCGCACTGAGTGACTTTTCTCTTTTTCATTGTTTTGCAGCAGGATTGGCCAGCGAGGTGACATGTAAATGTGTTATCTGATGTTCTGTCTGAACCTGATTGATCTCTGTTTGAACAGAATGACTAAAATAATCTTCTTCTTTCAGGGTTGGGTGTCGTCAGAGTGGTTGTGAAAGAAGGGAGTGACGCCATTTTACCCTGTTCCCTCAGCACCAAGGAGAACGCTGAGTCAAAGCTCTTTGACTGGAAGAAAGATGATCAGAAGGAGGTTTTCTTTTATGATGCAGGCCTTCATTCTAATAACGGCCGTCCAGGTCAAGATCAGCAGTTCAAAGGTCGCGTCTCACATTTTCAAGATGATCTGAAGTACGGCAACGCCTCCATCATCATCAGTAAAACGAAGTTGACCGACAGTGGAAACTACAGCTGTGATTTTCCACGTCTCCAGCCAAGACAGATATTCAACATTCAGCTTCTTGTCGGTGAGTGTTAAACAGTTAATCTGCACTCAGCAGCCACTTTATTAGGTACACCTGTCCAATTGCTTGTTAATACAAATAGTTAATCAGCCAATCATATGGCACCAACTGAATGCATTTAGGCTTGTAGACGTGGTCAAGACAACTTACTGCAGTTCAAACCGAGCGTCAGAATGGGGAAGAAAGGGGATTTAAGTCGATTGTGGCATGATTGTTGGTGCCAGACGGGCTGATCTGAGTATTTCAGAAACTGCTGATCTACTGGGGTTTTTACGCTCAACCATCTCTAGTGTTTACAGAGAACGGTCCGAAAAAGAGAAAACATCCAGTTGTGCGGACGAAAATGCCTTGTTGATGTCAGAGGAGAATGGGCAGACTGGTTCGAGATGACAGAAAGGCAACAGTAACTCAAATAACCGCTCGTTACAACCAAGGTGTGCAGAATATCATCTCTGAACACACAACACGTCGAACCCTGAAGCAGATGGGCTACAGCAGCAGAAGACCACACCGGGTGCCGCTCCTGTCAGCTGAGAACAGGAAACTGAGGCTGGCGTTCGCGAGGTGCGGACAACTTGGCACAACACCGAAGTTGGGGCTCCGTCCCTTAAGCAAGCGTTCCTCTTCGGCCACTACACATACATACATGCTACGCCTACACATGCGCACCGACCACCCTACCTTAGTGGTTAGGGTTACAATTTTGGATTTTTCAGGCACTTTAAAAACATTTATTAAACGCTTCTTTCTTTTCACATGTTTATTTACAGCATTATATGTTGAAATGTATATTGTAATACGCTGTATAATAACTTATTGGGAGAAACCTTGTATTTCTATGTGAAATCAGACGTTGAGCACCCCCTGGTGCAGACCGTCAGATTGACAGTCGAATCAGGCTCCGCCTATTGAAGCACCAAATCTTCCGACTAATCTGGGTCACTGAAGGTTTGGAAAACGGTTTACCCTCGCTTTGCTAAATATCCGTCTGCTGCATCTTGTAAACAAGGTGACGTATGACAATGTTTTGCAGGAATCGGCAAATGTATGTCAAATTTGCGGAAAAGTTGCGGTGATTGGTTAAAATTGCAAGTCGCGCTGAATTCACAGGGATTTGTTGAATTTGTGTTAAGAGTTTCAATGTAATATCCATAACTATGTTTTCTAAACTATACACATACTGTACATCGGTTGGTCAGTGGCCAGTTTATTAGGCACACCTGTACAGATTAATGCAAACATTAAAGGTTCAGTGGGTAATATTTCTGAGGATTTATTGACAGAAATTAAATATAAGATCCATAACTATGTTTTTAGTGGTGAATAAGGACCTTACATAATAAACCATTATGTTTTTATGACCTTAGAATGAGACATTTATATCTACATAACCGCAGGCACCCGCTTCCATGGGCGTCGTCACGTTGCATCGTCATGTTTCTACAGTAGCTGAAAACGGACAAACAGCGCTACAGAATATAAGGTAGAAAATAACTTGCATCAACATGTTGTTCGGTTAGCTCAGTTGGTAAAGTGCAGAACTCTCACCTAGAAAGGACAGTTTTGCAGCGAATGTTTCTCAGATCAAAGCATGTGCTGCACTGTTTTTGTTTCGGTGTTTCATCCTCATCCATCAACTTACGGACACCTTTTCATTTTCCCTAGTATCTCCAGGCAGAGGACATTTAGGGGAATCACGTTTTCTGACGGCTCCTTCAGAGTGTGACTCTTTTAATGTCGTTCAGAATTTTTCAAAGTAAAAGCTCTCAATTCAACTCGAAATAAAGCATTGCTGGAAAAAACTTTCTTGCGCTTTTATTTTGTAGGCAAAACCACTAAAGAGGAAGTGATTATGTGAGTAACTGTTGCTGTCATGACTGAGATCTATTTCAGCACCACCATCAAAGTATTTATTTATTTATATTTTTTGCCGATACCAAAGCACCATAATCTGGCAGCGAGCCAGATATTATTGTTGACGGGCAGTTTTGGCGAGGGTCATAATCAGAGAGAATTAATGTGTTTCTCTTGTCAATGTTTGTATAAACTTTTATCTAATGTGTGGTTTACAAACAGTGACAGTGTTTCACACTCTTGTCTTACATTTTCCATGTTGTCTGTCAATGGCCAAGTCGCAATAACACATGGTTTTACCGAATAATTAAGTAAATATAATTTCTTAGTAAATATACCTAAAGAAACCTCATTTCTTGACTGGCCACTCTGCTGTCTCAGAAGAGCACCTTTTGTGCTGTGTCAGCCACCGTAGCTGTCCTACGCTCTGTGAAAGGGTAGGGGGCAGTGGTAGACTGGATAGATGGTTGCAATTCGCAACCTCACCGCTAGATGCCACTAAATCTTACACACTTTACTTTTAATAGTTGTGATTGCGACATTGCAAAATCCTTGAGGGACTGGTTAAATACGTGGCCTTTGCTGTGTGAATCAGCCTCTGCTCATGTTTCCCCGACTCCATTTTAGATGTTAACCAATGACTCCACTACTAGGCTAAAAACACATGACAAGTTAATAACCCCACCCGTCCACCTTGCATGAATTAATGTTCTAATTTGTCTTTCAGACCTCACCCTTAGAGATCGATCAGGAGAAATCACAGGTGAGTGATGATTTATTTTATTTTTATTTATTTAACCCAGAAAAAACAACAGGGTCTGCCTGCAGACCTCCACTGTGATCAGGATTTGGTAAGGTTTAAAAAAAAAATAAAATATGAATATATTATTTCAACCTGGTTACACAACATTGGGATATTGAATGCTTTGTTGCAACACATGTACTGTACCCCCACCCATCAAACCAATTATTTTATCAGATTGCGCTTGCACGGACATTTTACCTCGCCTCCACCGGTCCCTGGAGCTTTTCAGATGATTTCTTAATTGTGTTGTAGTGATGTATGAGTGTTTTCTTTAACGATCTACTTTAATGAGAGAGGCTGCTGTCAGTCATTTGAATGTTTCCATCCGTGCCGTAAAGTCACAGCAAATATTGTGGGACAAAACTAAAGTAATAAACTTGACAGAAAAGACAGAGGAAACAGAATTAAACTTTTCGCTTCTAAAATAATTCAGACGCTCTGATAGAGCTCAAGATTGGTCAGGAAGTAGTCACTTGGCCCCTGCGCTTCTGTGCACTATGCAGCTGCAGCTTATTTAACTTAAGTTTAGGCCTTCATTTAGTTTTGCGGGGATGCTCTGCCATGCAGATTTCCTCTTGTTAATGTCCTGATAACTATTTAGTAAACAGTAATAGATTCTGGAAATTTGTGCTGTGCGTTGCAAACAAAAAGTTCAAGACAATTTAACTTCGGCGGCGGGCATGTGCGTGACCCTCCGACTGGGACGCTCTGACCACGCCACCTGATGGTCCACCTAATTCCTGCATACAGACAGAAACTAAAACTCTGCAAGCCTGTGGTGAGGACATCAAAGAAATGGACCAGTGAAGCTGTAGAGAACCTCCAGGCGTGATTGGACTGCACTGACTGGGATGTTTTCAGGACTGCTACCAACAATCTGCATGAGTATACAGAGGCTGCGACGTCCTACATCAGCTTCTGTGAGGACAGCTGTATACCAACACGGACCAGGGTGACTTATAACAATGACAAACCCTGGTTCACAGCCAGACTCAGACAGCTGAGGTTGGAAAAGGATGCGGCATTTAGGAGCCAAGTTAAAAGAGTCAAAGTACAGGTTTAGCAAGGTAATGCGAGATGCTAAACAGCTGTACACAGAGAGCCTACTACACCAGTTCTCAAAAAAATGACTATGCCTCTGTGGGGGAAGGGGGGGGGGGTCTTGAGAAGCTAACACACCGTAACCGACATAGTACATTTACAGCCAGAATATTTTCCTCTGCTCGCGTTCGCCGTCACTTTCTGCTGCTCGGACCCTCGGACATTCAAACACTCGCTATGCACCTCCTGATTCGGTGTTACTTGAAAATTAGTAGCAGAAACTGCGCAAAGCAGCTTGGCCGGACTCTGTCTCCACATCCACCCTGAAGCACTGCGCCAATCAGCATTTTTAACAACCTTGCTGGAGAAATGCCATGTGCCAGCCTGTTTCAAAGCCTCCACTATCATCCCTGTCCCCAAGAAACCAAGGACCACAGGACTAATAGGCTACAGACCCGTCGCCCTGACCTCTGTGGTTATGAAGTCCTTTGAACGCCTTGTGTTGTCCCATCTAAAATCCATCACTGACCCTCTCCTGGACCCCCTGCAGTTCGCCTACAGAACCAACAGGTCTGTAGATGATGCAGTACACATGGCCCTTCACTAAATCCTCTAGCACCTGGACCCCCCAGGAACCTACACCAGGATCCTGTTTGTGGATTTCAGCTCTGCTTTCAACACCATCATCCCGGCCCTGCTGCAGGACAAGCTCTCTCAGCTGAATGTGCCTGACTCCACCTGCAGGTGGATCACTGACTTCCTGACGGACAGGAAGCAGCACGTGAAGCTGGGTAAACATGTCTCTGATTCCAGGACCATCAGCACCGGTTCCCCTCAAGGCTGCGTTCTTTCCCCTCTGCTCAGTCACCAGTCTGCTGAAGTTTGTGGATGACACCACCCTCATTGGGCTCATCTCTATGGGGGATGAGTCCGACTACAGGTGGGAGATTGACCATCTGGTGACCTGGTGCAGCCAGACCAGTCTGGAGCTCAACGCTCTGAAGACTGTGGAGATGGTTGTGGACTTCAGGAAGAGCCCAGCCCCACTAAAAACCCGATACTGAGGCGAACACAACAACAGTTTGAATGCGTCCGCTTGTTGCTACACCTCTTGCTCGACCACTTCACCTCACTCTAACTGGGACACTTGCTACTGAACACAGACTGTTTCTGCGGCTCCCTGCTAAAAGAACAATGTTTCTGCTGATACCTACCTAGTTATGATAGATTTCCAGGTTACAGGCTCGAAGATCAAGGAGGCACAAATTGGGGACATAAAAAAGGTCCTGTGAGACTAGACTACTGTATTTCAATGTTTCAATCAGAAACATTATAAAGTGTCAACATGTGACAAATCACAGAAATCAGACAGCAGCTTAATCTGTAATCTCACTCCCCACAGTTACATTGATAACTGAAATATGCTTTTCTTTTTTCTGTGGTTATATGTATTCAGTGACACAAAACTCTTCACACTTTGGAGTGAACCTACCTTTGAGACCCTGTGTTTTATATTTGTATTTGATAAAAAGCTGAATTAATACCTGTACAGTCTGTTGCAATTCATTACAACAGCTCTGTTTATAAATTCTACTTTTACCAAGTTTGTAATGTTCAGGTTTTTTTGAATTTCTCTGAAACATTCAATTACATGTTTATCACTAAGCTCATAGTTATAGGTGCTTCCATAAAGGTTATTCTGGACCACGTTTTACTGAGAGGTGTTTCTAATGAGTCAGAAACAGTGTTTGCAGCTGTAAATAGTTTCCGGACTTTTGGTAGAAGTTAGAAATGTTTGAAATATCATGTCCTATCTAACAATGCTGGGAAGAGCAACTGAGGCTGATACTGTGTTTTTCTGTTAAACACACTTTAATCCTCATTTACAAGCAGAGAAGAGACGAACAAGCAACATTTACATTTATTCATTTAGCTGACGCTTTTATCCAAAGCGACTTACAATTGCTATCAGAGGTCTTATCCATTGCACCATCACCACACAGAAACATCACAGTGTTACATTTATAATCCTGTTATTGTCCTTTTATAGCTGATGTGTCTGTTTACTGTGTTCACAGGAGCATCTTCAAAGCCGTATGTTACAATACTTGATGAAACGAAGGACTGGGCCCTGGTGCAGTGTGAAGTTCTTGGTGCTTTTCCTAAACCTAGAGTAGAGTGGCAGGACAGTGCTGGAAACAAACTTCCTGCTGAGGAGCCACAGGTCTCAGAAAGAGGAGGCAGCTTCTACATCACTGTCAACACTACTGTGATGAAGACCGACCGCTATCGCTGTGTAGCCACACAGGAGGAGATCAGCCATCAGATTCATACTGAGACCTACCTCTATATCGGCGGTGAGATTCTTTCTGGTGGTGTTTTTGTATTTGAGTAATTTCAGTAGTTGTGTTAAACATGTCAAACATGTTTAAGTGTCTTCAGACTGAACTCAAAGCAGGTTGTGATGAAGACGTCTGCAGAAGTGTAAAAAGTTTCAAACTGAGTGAAAGCTTCACTCTTATACTGAGACTCTGAGACTTCATGAATCTACAGAGATGAGAGGAAGAATGAGAGGGTCTGCAGGGAAATAACAGAAAGAAACTCTGAGATCAGTCTGATCAAACACAGGAACACAAGAATTTAGTAAACTACACTCACAAACCCAGTAACTGATTTAAAAATGGCTGCTGCAGCCTGATCCTGAGGATCAGTTACACTGATATATAATTATAAGAAGATACTTTTCTGTAGTTATATGAAATCAGTGACTTTGTTGATGAAAGCTAAATTTAAAAATTGACTTTGACAATTAAAAAAATATATATTTTCATTTTTTTATTACTCTCTATTCTTTTTTTAAAATAATTTTAAAAAATTAGTAATGTAATGGTTAAAAACTCTTCCACTGTGTCGAGCAGGAGCACATCAGCCATATAACCAGTGCTGAGTGAGCTCATCCTATTGGTGGTTTTATCTGCAAATAGTTTTATACTTTAGGAGCATGGTCGCCTCAGTAGTAGTTCTGTGTAGGTAATAACCAGTGTGCTGTACATGAGATACAGTTTACATTCTGAGTGTGACTCTAGGTTTTGTTGTGTGTTTCAGAGAAACTGTTCAGCAGAGGGGACGTCATAGGATGTTTTTTTGGTGGAATCATTTTGGGAGCTTTAATTCTTGCTGCAGTTCTAGCTTCACTTGTAGCTACAAAGTTCATCACAGTACGCCGTAATAAAGGTGAGTTTATATAATGTATCAACATCCATCATGTGCAGAAGTTTGTTTTTTTATTAAACTGATCTTTTTGCCTTTATTGGACAGGAGCAGCTAAAGAGAGACATGAAAAAGGGGAGGAAGAGATTATGACATAGAGAACAGGGTCTGTACCAGCAGGTGAGCGGCCGTTATTTACATTTATAAAAACCAAATTCCATCCAGCTTTTATTTATTCATGAGGCCTTTTGTTCTCGTTCTGATTGTTTAAAATAAATATAACAAGCTGTAAATATTAACTGTCCATTAAATGGATGGTTTGACATTTTGATTTTAAAAATGTCCAATTATTTCTTCACGTTTCTTTAATCAGATCTTTGAACATCGTTCACTTCTTGTTTTTCCATTTTGTCTCTGGAAACATTTGAAAGTAAAAGTCCTGAATATTCTGCCTGTCTGCTGATACTGACCACCATTTAAATGATCTGATTATCTCCTGAAGTGGATTTGTAAAAACAAACTGTGCTGTTATGTCCTGATTCTTAAAATGACTGAATACACTTGAAAATGTTGTAATGTTAATGATTATGATAACAATAATAACAATGGGACTAGTAACAATAGTCGTTGCACCAGAGGGTGTCGAGCAGGAACACAGGGGCAGCAGGTGACCCGCAACCACAGATCCAGACTCCACAGCTCCAGAGCCAGAAAACCTGCAGGAAGTGATAGGAGGAGAGAGGAGAGAGACGAGAAAGCACAAGACTACCAGAAAGGGGAGAAGTTGTGTTAGTAACATGCAATAATGGGATAAGGTTGCATACAGAGGGAGAGAAAGTAGAGGAGAGAGGAGCTCAGTGCATCATGGGAAATCCCCCGGCAGTCTAGGCCTATAGCAGCATAACTAAGGGATGGTTCAGGACTCACCTGAGCCAGCCCTAACTATAAGCTTTATCAAAGAGGAAAGTCTTAAGCCTACTCTTAAATGTGGAGATGGTGTCTGCCTCCTGAACCCAAACTGGAACCTGGTTCCACAGGAGAGGAGCTTGATAGCTGAACGCTCTGGCTCCTCGTCTACTTTTGGAGACTCTAGGAACCACAAGTAACCCTGCATTCTGGGAGCGCAGTGCTCTGGTGGGGTAGTAAGGTACTATGAGCTCTTTAAGATAAGATGGTGCTTGACCATTAAGAGCTTTGTAGGTAAGAAGAATGATTTTAAATTCTATTCTGGATTTTACTGGAAGCCAATGCAGAGAAGCTAAAACAGGAGAAATATGATCTCTTTTCCTGGTTCCTGTCAGAACACGTGCTGCAGCATTCTGGATCAGCTGAAGAGTCTTAACGGACTTTTTCAGCCTGATAATAAAGAGCTGCAGTAATCCAGCCTAGAAGGAACACATGCATGGACTAGTAAGAAATGCATGGACATGGATTTGCATTTACAGTCGCCAGTAGCTCCGAATGTGTGTTTACGCCCCCACCCCATCATGCAGACTCTGTGCGGACTGGTTCCAGCTCCCTGTGAGTTAACACGGCAGCTGGACCAGGACCGAGCACGGCCTCCGAGGCCGACAGCCAGTTTGACCACTGGGAATACAGAACCGTGGTGGTTTTCTTGCCGGGTTTGGCTCTCAGCACCCGGGGCTCAGTAACGTTAATCTAATAGAACCCCTAACATCACGGCTAACCGACCGAGCTAACCAGCCACAGATTCAGGCAGATAGGCAAAAGTTAGCGGTTTAGCAAAAAGTAAAGCTATCACAGAAGCTCTGTGTAAATCATCTCAGTACTGGATTCCCTGTTGGTCTCTGAGACTGTGTTCGGTCCTGTTCATACCGTGTTCACTTCAAGTAATTTGTTGCTGTACCGGACTTCATTTTTAAAGTAACCCTCCCAACCCTGGTTATAACGGTTAGTTTTCTGTCCATGTAGAGTGAACTAGATGTCTTGTTGTTTATATGCTCTGATAATGTTAATGCAACACATCTTTGTAGTAGCGTCCATGTTGATTCCACATTCTGATTTAAGAGCACATGAACACATTGAAGTCGGAAGAACGACTTCACAACTCGGGAAATGGGACAATCCTAGGAGCACTTGAATGCACCGTGAGGAGCTGGTTGCAATTCGCAACCCTCACCACTAGATGCCACTAAGACTTACACACTGAACCTTTAAATGTGTTCCCCCATTATGCTGTGTTCACATACAACGCAAATTTAATCCTTGCAACAATCTCCTCGTGCGGGATTTATTGCTGGACAATTGTCAAGTGTTCGCACACAACGCGAATAAACACAACCCGTAAATTACTACCACTAAATGAACCCAAAGTAAACATTTTGCTGTGATTTAATTGCAATAAACGCGTCAAACTGATGCTGAAATAACTACAGCATGATGCAGATTTGTTAAACATATGAATTCATGCTTTGTCACGTCTGTCAGCAAGACAGCAGGACAACAACTTCTAAAATGTTTGTTTTCTGAATGGAGTTTGGGTCGATCAGGGCTACGCTATGCTAACTTGTTCACAGTGACAACGATAGCTGGAATAAAGTTACAAACATATTTTCTGAAGGTAGTTCAACATCCTCGCTGTCTTTTCTCCAAGTAATGTCCAGTTTTGTCCGTTTTTTTTAATATAAATATGAAGTTGTAGTCCGACAGAGCTAATGACGCTAAAAACAACACTGGAACCGGATGTGCACAGAAGCTGCTGAGAAGCTCCAGTGAAGATAGATCAACGTTGTAATCCCAAAAAGTAAAAAGCTAATTTAATAAAAAGCAGTTAACTCTGAGCTCCTCCTGCGAGTAAACGACGTAGTGGTCAGAGCAGAATCCGACCGACTACGGGTGTTTATTTGTCCAAAACCTGCAGCGCTGCTCCCGGCTCTTTCTCCGAGACTTCCCCGTACTTTAGCAGCTCTCCGCCGGCCAGCGCCGTGTCACTCCCCCGCTCTCCCCGGTCCTCTCTTACTTTTGACGACGCTCTTAAACTTTCCTTTTAACAAAGACTTGTGTGAGCAGAGAGCTTCATTTGGCAGCACAGTGGGTTTCTGTAGTGGTGGAAGCTGAAATGATCACATATTGTTAAATGTGATTTCACAGTTTGTTTTGGAGGTGGACCTCAGGGTAACGCTAAAATCAAATCTGTATGTGTAGGCCACCAATCATTTCTGTACATTATAAAAAAAGCTGAATTTATGTAATATATACTTTCTTTTCTGCAGGTTCTTGTGGTCAATGTAAAACATTTAAGGCAGAAGCTGTACCGACAGAAGACAGAAGTGAAAATATGAAAACGGATCCGCACATGTAGCTTCTGTAAAATCAATCAGTCTTCTGAATCTAATGTTTTTGTGTCTGAGTAATGTTTTTGAAATTGGTCCAGTAGTTTGCGAGTGCGAAGCCGTCAGGCCCAGGCGGTATTATAAATATTGTATTAAATACCATGTATCACATATGATAAACACTAGATGATGATTGATTAAGAACTAAAGCTCAGCATTTACACTTGTTACACTAACATTGTCTCCACCCAGAGGACATGGGATTGTTTTTCTGCACAGGATTGAACACTTAGAATAACGAGCCTGTCTCCAGAGTGAGTTGAGGTGAGAGCGGGTTTGTTTCAACTAAAATGCATGTAATGTAATTAAAACTGTTTTTTACACACTACTGCACCACTTCATTCGCTGTCATTCATGACAACGAATGAATCGAGGCTAAGCTTTATTTTATTGTGGAATGAACACAGATCGAGAATATTTGTCTCTGACTTTATGTAAAAGTAGTTTTAGTTTTTTTTTTGTTCCCTGTGTGAAAAAGCCTTTACTCACTATAAGCCTATTAAATACACTAAACATATATACTGCACTTATAATGTCTATCTTTTTTTTTAATTTAAAAGGTATGTAATGATAAATGTAATGTTTTGTTCACTTTGTTGCAATGTTGACTGCTTTATTATTATAAATGCTGTTTCTGAAACACTACACTAAAGACGAGTCTGTATTATAGAGTGTAATATACACTATAATACAACACAATACATATAATACAGGCTTGTCTTGTCTCACAGACTCTGGTTCAGCTACAACTACATTACCGCTCTGTATCCATTACGTAAAGAATGATGTGTTTTATGTTTATGTTCTGTAATAATGCATTTTAATCATTTACCCCTGTTTTTCTTGTGAAAAAGCTAAAGTTATCATTTTTTATTACATTTTTACGTCTTCATCAGGTCAAACCAACATGTTGAATGTTCTTTTCTCAGGAAACATTTTCAAAGCTGATTTTAAAGATCATATAAAAGTGCTCTTATTGGAACAATAGTTTCACTACAGTGTGTTGGTGAAAGTTCTCCCAGTCAGTCAGTTTGTGTTGCAGAGTTGTCTTTTATATTTTGTTACTTGTTACTCACCAGGTGAAGTAGCGACTGCACGCTGCTCCAAATCTGTTTATCTTCATTTCCTGCCATCTACCTTCAGCTGTTGAATAAAAGCATTAATGTCATACAAACATTCCTAATGAGGTTTTTATTTTAAAGTAAAGTATAGAAAGTGGTTATCAGACTGATTCAACACCTTGTTTTATTTTAACGTCTTTTAAAATCAATTCATTTGAATATAAAATACGGTAAATCAGTAACAACAAGTCATTTCATGTTTATACAGATTGAGATAATTCTTCTATGTTCAATACAGAAGCAGTTTACACAAAACAATAATAGAGCTGTGTTACACATTTTTCAATCAGCCTCAAGACTTTTCTTCAGGTTAAGTTTATCCAATCTGGAAAAAACTTTATGGGTCTCGTATGAAAACTGGGTTTGTTTCATGTGCATTTCATCATAAATTTAGCAACCCCCCCCCCCAAAAAAAAATGTAAGTATACACACATATGGATAGATAGATAATGCCCATTATGTATCTGCACATGTCATTCCAAAAGTGACTGATGATGAAACTGTCGTTGTAACCTGTATGAATTGGTGCTGGTAGCTGGTGATGCTGCATCTGTGCAACACGCCATATTTTACTGACGTCACTAAAATGAGGCTCAGATGCCAGGTCAAGCAATTCGCCGTCTGATTTTTCTTGCGCCCACAGCAGTGTTATTATGGTAAGGACGGGCTGTGAGCGAGCCGAAGGTCCTGAAAGATACATGTACCGATTTTTTTGTGATGTTCTTAAAGATTGTATGAAAATAAATACTTACAAAACAATAAGTCATTTTCCCGGAGGTTTTGACTGTAGCCCCGAATGTAACTAAATGTTTCCAGTCAGTTTCTAGTCAGTTTATTATAGGTACACAAACGGTTACCAGTCCGCCAAAAGTAGTGAGAGAACATCAAGACACACCTGACACCTGTCTCTCTCTCTGCTGTCTCTGTCCCCCTCGCTCAGAGACACTTTGCTCTGTTTGACTGTCTCTCTGCTCCAGGATGCTTCATTCCCTCTGAAGCGGCTGTGAGCTGAACTTTATCAGAGGGGCTGAAGTGAACATGTGTGTGAATCTGTGGTTAGATTTCTGTCTGATCACAAGTGTTTTCAGTTTTCGCCTCATCCACTACAGTCCCAGACGGCTTTGTGTCTGCAGATAGAACACAATATCAGCAGAGCAGTAACGCAGGGTAATGCACAGCAGAGGCAGGAACATTTTGTTAAAATATTGTGACTTCATTCTCATCAGATTTTATTCTCATATTAAGGCTTTGGTCTCAAAATATTATTCTGCAAATGTCAGAGATATGTGGGAGAGATTGTGCAGAAAGTTTTGAACATGAGCAGAAAACCTGCTGAAACACAGGAGACAAGTGTTTATGACTGAATTAAAATGAATTCATTTCTCATTGAGGTGAAAAGCTGCCTTTACTTCAGTCTACATATGTGTTGACTCAGCAGGGAAGAAATTTTATTTATTATAAATATTATTATTAGTAGTATTTATAAAAATCGGAAAAAATATATCGTTTTACTACCAACTTGTTAAAATCACATACTAAAAATCCTCCATCAGCGAAAATTAAAGACACAATTTTTGACCGAGCTTGACTTTTGACCAAAACAATTCCTTTTCGCTGTTGGAGGGATTTTTAGGGAAGTTTCTGGATTTCTCCAAGTTGGTAGGCTACATTCAGACATTATGATATTTGTGCCAGTGATAGTAGATGACACTAGGAAGCAGAGGAAATCACAACGGGGATGTCACCTGAAAGGGGAATTGTTTTAGTCAAAGTTCAGTCAAATGTTTAAGGCTGTTTAATTTTCACTGAGGAGGGATTTTCTCCAGGTTGGTTCAGTGAAATGTGAAATGTGTGCCAGTGATGGAAGAACTCATTAGGAAGTAGAGGTCATGACAACCTGAACTAATGTACTGAGGAAAGGTCAAAGTTCATATAAATGTTCACAAAATAACAAAGAAACTGTTTGTTTTGTATTATTATTATTATTATTATACTACCGTGGTATGTAAATCATTAAGTATAAGAAACCGTGTATGTATCTTTCAGGACCTTCGGCTCCCTCACGGCCGGTCCTTACCGTAATAACACTGCTGTAGGCGCAACAGAAATCACACGGCTGCCCCCACAGAGGACAGACCAGGTTTCGTTTCGTTTTCGGCAGCTGAAGTTACCGCAGTCTTTAAAGGGGGAAAGTGTACCACGCATGCGCAGAACTCCATGGAACTTGTGTTTTGGTCTAGACTGTTTGAAGAGTTTGTGCTCCAAAGTTACTGTTATAGTTATTATTGTGAAATACTGAAGCCTTAAATCATATCGCCTTGTTACTGACAGTTTATTCATTTAACTTCAAATATCTCAGCTGACTGTATCTGAGGAGGCCTGTTAGTTAACTGTGCAGATGTCATCATGATCCCACTTTCCTTCTGTTTCTTCCTGCTGGATCTGTGTGGAATAATTCTCGGACATGCAAACGGTAAGAAAGTTAATTCCCAATAAATAGTTATATGTTATCTATCGAGTGATAGTAAACAAGACACCTCGCGCTGTGAGTCGCTGCCTCATTGTGTCAAAGAAGTAAAGAAGCTGAATGTTTTGGGATAAAAACATCTAAAAACTGAGGTGCAGACTTGAGCAGAGCTGAGGGGCCCTTCCTGTTATTTCACATCAAAATCTTAAAGATGCCTAATTGTTAACCGTACAGTATTTTCTGCCTCATGTCCTGCCTCTGGAAAACTAGAGAGTACTCTGCTGAAACGAGTATCTGGAGCAACTAATGTGCCTTTTACCTTGTAAAAATTGTGTCAATATCCGTTTTTTAATAAACAATAAATACAGGAACTTTTGTTAAAAAACTTATCTTGCTGTTGTGAGCAAAAATTAGCTTTGAAGCTCGATTGTGAGGCTGTTCTGTAAATAGTTTTCTAATAAATATGGTAATATATATTACTGCCTGCTTACAAGCTGTTAAACCACCATGTGCATTACCTGCCTACATGTCTACTTACAAACTGTAGAGTTTATTGTCTGTATCATGTGACTCATCAGGTTTCTCATGTCAGCTTAAATATTCTTAAATGACGCCAACATGAAAAATCTCCATAAATAATGTGCCGACTAACTAACGTGTTTATAAACTGGTGTTTCAGAGTCATTGAGGTGACATGTAAATGTGTTATCTGATGTTCTGTCTGAACCTGATTGATCTCTATTTGAACAGAATGACTAAAATAATCTTCTTCTTTCAGGGTCGGGTGACGTCAGAGTGGTTGTGAAAGAAGGGAGTGACGCCATTTTACCCTGTTCCCTCAGCAACAAGGAGAACGCTGAGGAGAAACTCTTTGACTGGAAGAAAGATGGTCGGAAGGAGATTTTCTTTTATGATGGAGGCCTTCATTACAACAACGGCCGTCCAGGTCAAGATCAGCAGTTCAAAGGTCGCGTCTCACATTTTCAAGATGAGCTGAAGTACGGAAACGCCTCCATCATCATCAGAAATACGAAGGTGACCGACAGTGGAGACTACACCTGTGATTTTCCACGTCTTCAGCAAACATTCCACATTCAGCTTGTTGTTGGTGAGTGTTTTCATTTAACAGTTAATCAATAAATATTGTTCATCAAGATCTCTTTGACTCCAGCTGTTCTTCCTCGTCTGTTCAGTCTTCTGTTTAAACCACTGACAACGAGGAACAACTTTAATTACATATCAGCAATTTAATATGTGAGAATCACATACAGTAGTACAGTAGTTAAACTGGCAATAACTATTTTAACAATAAAAATTTTACAATGCAAATCTTCAAAATCTGAACTTAACTAAGATGTTGATAAAATATATGAACACCTGCTGTGTATTCATTAATACAGCTGCACAGTTTTTGATTCATTTCTACTCCGTAGAAAGAAGTTTGCAATTTATAATAAATTAGATTTATTCATTTAGCTGAGGCTTTTATGCAAAGCGACTTATAATCGTTATAAATGTCAGAGGTCGCACACCTCTGGAGCAACGATGGTGTAAGTGTCTTTTTCAGTGTCACAGTGGTAATCAAAGCCTGCACTCTCACACCAAAGCCATGTGACTTAAGCCTAGTTCACACTACACAATTTTTAGCCCGATTTGCCATTTTGTTTGCATGAAAAATGAAATAATAGCAAATACCTTTTGTAAAAATATGAAAATCATCTAAGTGTGCATTATCAAGATTTTATATTTTATATAGGTAATACAATGATAATTACATGAAAACAATAAGTCTTTAGAACACAGTGATAGTAACTGCAATGAGTCCCGAGAGAGAGAGAGATGTTTTAAATGTCACCATATTCTAACACATCTGTTAAGTTCTGTGTGTGTAGCATGAAAGAACTACAAACTTTCATTCCGTTGTTAGCCTATACAACAGTTTTGTGTTGTATAGGCTAATGCTAAATAAATTACCCTCCTTGATATTTGACTAAATGTCGAGAATATTGCCAACAAGTAAGAAAAGAGGATGTCTGCTTCATCTTAAAAGAGCTGGATCCATCCATACCAGTGCAATGATGAGCTAGTACTTAGATTTTACTCTGTCATGTAGCCTACAATGCCTTTTTCTTTCACACCAGTTGTTGTTGTAACCAGCTACAACCAGTAACATGTAAGTTGTCCTGTTGCCTGATTGCAAGATCATCTGTGTCTCCACATCACGTTGGGTTTGGGCATGCAGCGACTGACATCAGTGCCGTGGTGTCTGTTCAGTTTGCATCGTATTTGATTAGTTAATTTATCATTTTGCTTTTAAACTCATTTCTTTCGTGCCTTTGGTTTTAATCATGGTTGACCTGCATCGTGTTATTGTTCATTAACATGGAGTGGACTGCTGTGCTTTACTGGTGGTGTGGTGGTCAATGTCAGAGACTTTCTGCTAAAACATAACAACCCTCAGCCATTTCACTGCTATACAGCGAAGAGTGATGGGTGGTGCTCCTGTAGATATCATATTTGTCGGTGGCTGCGCTGGCTCTGCAGATGGAAATAAATAATCAGTGACAAGGTCATAAAATATCAAAATGTTCTTAAATATTCACCACAATTCAGCAACACCTGAATATTATGTGTCCCTTTTACATAAATAATTTCCAGAATAAATTAATGCAGAAAAGGCAGAAACTGGTACAGAAAAACACCAGAATGCAGGAAATTAAGTGTTTAACACCCACAATGTTCGGGGGGAGTACCCCCAAACACCCCTGTTCATTCTGTCGCAGTTTGGTTTTTTATATTATTATAATTAGACACATGACATTACAATTTAGCTACATCAGAATGAGACAGTTAATAGTGTTGTTCAATTGTGTCAATTATTATGTGAAGATATGAAGTTTTATGGATTGGGCTAAGCCCCGTATGTTTCAAGATCCTAGAAACGCCCCTGCTGCAGAGGACAACACATATGGACTGATTAAAGAGTTTTCAGGGACCACAAATATTTCCTAGCCCATAATGATGCTAATACATCGATTTACATTCCATAGAGCCGTGCTCTTGGGTCTGTGTGCTGATCTGGGTCCAGTATTAGACAGACCAACCCGAAAGAACTACGCCACAAATACAAGTAGCGTAGGCTATAATAGGGCTGCGCAATATAACGATATAGATCATTTGATGTTTAAAAAACATCTATAGTTTACAATTATGCTCTATCGTTTAGTTTGTTGTGTCGCAAATTCCACACTTTACTGCAATATTTCTGCAAGGGGACGGTGGTGAAGTAGGATATTTGATGTCTACCGAACATCCAACGTAAAAGTATTATGCAGCTTGAAACTAACTTCACCACGGTTCGTTCTTCCACACTTGCCCGTGTTGCAGGGAAGAAATTTGCATTGAGAATAAACAAATGTGGAGGAGAGTGAAGTTTACACAGAACTGGGTTATACTGAACAGGAGGACTCATGGTGCGTTCGAGACCGGTCGGGACTGGGAAATTTCCCAGTTCTGAGTTGCCTGGAATGCAGCATCAGACCATCCAAGCAGAAACCAGGAGCTCACAGCAAAGAGAGACGTCTGTTTTATGGACGGGCCACACAACACTATCCATCATTACTTTGTGTTGAAAAGCGGTGGGGACTTAAGGGCTCAGATTAGGAGCGGGATGATACATTTGGGTCACAAGACGTGACGATGCACGAGAACAAGATGAGAAGATTTGTAGCACTATTTTGAAGAAATGTTTGAAGTTGAAATATATGAGCGGGGGTCTGAGGCTCCTCCACTACATGATTTTGAGCATTAAACTCGTAATGTCCTGCTTTCTGGAGACATTTTCTGCTCCCAATTTTTTATATGAAGGGAAACTATATTTAAATTGCATTGCATGTTTTCTTATTGTGCAAATAAACCTTTGTCAAAGTGTTTTCATTTGTTAGTTAACATTTCTTGGTGCAAACAATTTTTCAGAACATTTTTAACAAATGCTTTCAAAAAGTGACGGGGAAAAATCAGCCATTTCAAAATGTGGAGGGGACATGTCCCCCAGCATCAGTGTAAATGACCCCTATGGGTGTGTGTTTGATATCATCAACAATATATAATGTTTACCTTTCTGCCTAAAGCTCCATTTGGGTCTTGGAATTTGCTGCATTTTCTTTAGTTTGTGAAACAGTATGTGCTCACTAGCACCTTCTCGGTTGTTGTTGCTGTGATCTACAGTAAGCAGGCGCATTCATATGCAGTAATATTGATGAGGTGCTTTGCATTGACCATTTATGGCTGAATGTGGGCGTGTAGAGGGCTGGATATGAGGCTAATCCATGTGACGGTTTTATAGATCTGAATCTGGATTCTATGCACTATTTTATAAATGAGGGTTGGCTGACTCCAGTTTTGGAAAAGTAATTAGTCTAGGGGTTCACATACTTTTTCCACCCTGCACTGTGAATGTTTACACCGTGTGTTTAATAAAAAGTGTTTGTGTGTTATTAGTTTAAGCAGACTGTGTTTGTCTATTGTTTTGACTTAGATGAAGATCGGATCACATTTATGACCAATTTATGCAGAAATAGGAAGGTCTCCTACAGATGAGGAACATTATTGTTGGTGTTAATCGTGTCAACTAATGATGAGGGAATGTCACACAAACTGCTCTCATAGTTGCAGATACATTTTTACAGATCTCAGCGGCACACATTGGACAAATGCGTAAAAGGGAAGTCACAAATCTATCGTGACTCACAAATTGACAGGAAGCAATCCACAAATGTGTACAAATGGATCCACAAATGCCTAAATATCACTATATGTGAAGTTAAAATATGTGTTTACTTTATACACACTGTATTTTTGATTGTGGATATGATTTTACACAAAGTGTAAAAATGCATATTTGCGGATCTGTCACGCTCTGCCGGTTGGCCATCCTTTGTGTTTACTTTTGAGTTTGGTATCTGCCTTGGTATGTTGAGTTTTGGGTTCTGTCCTGTCTAGTGTCCAGTATCTGTTATATAGTCTGCTTGTCATGTCTAGTCTCTCTGTTTTCCTCTGCTCTCTCTCTGCCTCGTTAGTCTCATGTCTGTCACCTGTGTTGCTCCCGCCCTGCTCGTTAGTCCCTGTGTATATATACCTGGTGTTTCTGTCTTGTCCTTGTCCGGTCATTGTTCATGTTACCCCCCAGTCTGTCGTGTGTGTACTCTCTGCCTGTAACCAGCCTTGCTTGTCTCGTCTCGTCTCCTCTCCCTGTACTTTTGGATTTTGGATTTTTGGATTTCTGTTATTCAGCCACTCACCTGTAAGTGTGCTCGCTTTTGTTTGTTTATTAAATCCCTTCGTTATACCATACCTGCTCCGCTCTGTGTCCTGCGTTTGGGTTCTCCAACCTGCCTCCACACCACGATCGTGACAGAATGACCGGACCAATTAAGAGCCCAGCAGACACTCTAACTGAGGAACAGACTGACGTGCTGAGGGAGCTTCTGACGCTGAGGAATATGTGGTATGGGGCTAGTCATGTTAGCCATAAGGCAGCTATCGTGTCCCTTGCCTGGAAGAGCCTGGCTGCTCAGCCAGGAGCAGCAGACTCTCTCCCTGGGTGGGTTTGTGACTTCCTCCACACCTCAGCCAATCCCCCAGCCAAGTCCTCATCAGTTCCTCAGTCTGTTAGCCTGGAAATGGCTAACACCCGGACCGCTAGCCTCCGGCCGTCATCTCCCCGGCCTGCTAGCCCTCTGCCTGTCCTGCCTGTTACCTGTTATCTGTTCTGCTGGCGCCGCTAGCCCTCCGCCTGTCCTGCCTGTTATCTGTTCTGCTGGCGCCGCTAGCCCTCCGCCTGTCCTGCCTGTTATCTGTTCGGCTGGCGCCGCTAGCCCTCCGCCTGTCCTGCCTGTTATCTGTTCGGCTGGCGCCGCTAGCCCTCCGCCTGTCCTGCCTGTATCCTGCTTGGCTAGCGCCGCTAGTCCTCCGCCTAGCCTGTCCGTCCGCCTGCCTGCCCTACCTACCAAGGACTCAGGGACTATGACTCTCCTGGCCTACCTGACCATGAAGGCCAGGGAGTCAGAGGCAGCACGGCAGCTACGCTATGGCCTGATAGCCTGGAGGCTAGGCTTTCCCCGGAGTCGTCCTTTGAAGGGAGTCGCCTAGCCATCTTTTCGGGTTCCCATGGTGGTCATCGGAGGCGACGAGGTCACCATCAGCGACCCGTCGGCAACAAACCTGTCCCCTGGCTTGCTAGAACGGCTAGCCGCCTGCCTGATTCCCGGCCCGCTAGCGCTGCTAGCTCCACATCAGACCTGCCTGATCCCCGGCCTGCTAGCGCTGCTAGCCGCCTGCCTGATCTCTGGCCTACTCCTGCTCCCAGGTCTCACTCGGTGGTCTTACCGACACCTGTTACTGGTCCCTCATCGAAGGTCCGACTGACACGAGTTCCAAGGTCTCCGTCGGTGGCCAGACCGGTTCCCGCTCCCCGTGCCCCGTCGGTGGACCGACCGGCACCAGCTCCGTTGGTGGCCCGATCGACTCCTGTTCCCTCGTCGGTGGTCCGACCGGCACCTGCTTCGCCGGTGGCCCAGCCGACTCCTGTTCTTCCGTCGGTGGTCCGACCAACACCAGCTCTGTTGGTGGCCCAGCCTGTTCCTCGTCCTCGTGCTCCGTCGGTGGTCCGACCGGCACCTGCTTCGCCGGTGGCCCAGCCGACTCCTGTTCCTAGTGCCCAGTCGGTGGTCAGGCCGACTCCAGCTCCTCGTGTCCTGTCCATGGTCCCCTGCCCAGCTGTCCAGTCGGTGGTCAGACCGACTCCAGCTCCTCGTGTCCGGTCCATGGTCCTCAGCCCAGCTGTCTCGCCGGTGGTCCTCAGCCCAGCTGTGCCTCCAGAGCACCCAAGCTTTGGGTGCCGACCTCCGAAGAGGTCTTGCCGTCGGCCTCCTGCTCGGCCCCCAGTGGGTTTGCTGCCTCACTGTTGGCCGTCCTGCCAACCTCCCGAACTCTGTGGCCCCCCTGTTCTGCCCGGCCTGTTGAGTCGACCTCCGGCGCGGCCTCCCGAACTCTGTGGCCCCCCTGTTCTGCCCGGCCTCATGGGTCGTCCCACGGGACGCCCACCTGAACTGTTTTACTCTCCTGGTCTACTCGGTCGACCTCCGGGTCTGCCTCCTGAACTGTGTGTTCCCCCTGATTTGCTCGGCCTGTCGGGTCATCCCCCGGGACGACCTCCTGAACTCCGTGATCCCTTTGGTCTGCACGGCCTCCTGGGTCGCCCTCCGGGACGGCTCCTGAACTGTTCTGCCCCTCTGCCCTGCCCTGCATGTTAGGCCAAGTGCCTTACCTGCCCTGTTTCCTGGGCATGATCTGCCTGTTGGGTGGTTCCCCCGGACTGTTTTGTCCCCTTGGCCTGCTTGTGCGACCTCCCGAACTCTGTCGCCCCCTTGCCTTGCCCTCTGGCCACCCTCCTGAGAGTTCCTGGTCTGGCCCTCCTCCTGTCCTCCCTCCGCCCACCCTGGCTCGACTTGCCCTCCTCCTGTCCTCCCTCCGCCCACCCTGGCTCGACTTGCCCTCCTCCTGTCCTCCCTCCGCCCACCCTGGGCCGGCTTGTGCCTTGTTTTTGGGCTGTTTTGTTGACCGTCTGGAGACGCTCGTCGGTGGGGGGGTACTGTCACGCTCTGCCGGTTGGCCATCCTTTGTGTTTACTTTTGAGTTTGGTATCTGCCTTGGTATGTTGAGTTTTGGGTTCTGTCCTGTCTAGTGTCCAGTATCTGTTATATAATCTGCTTGTCATGTCTAGTCTCTGTTTTCCTCTGCTCTCTCTCTGCCTCGTTAGTCTCATGTCTGTCACCTGTGTTGCTCCCGCCCTGCTCGTTAGTCCCTGTGTATATATACCTGGTGTTTCTGTCTTGTCCTTGTCCGGTCATTGTTCATGTTACCCCCCAGTCTGTCGTGTGTGTACTCTCTGCCTGTAACCAGCCTTGCTTGTCTCGTCTCGTCTCCTCTCCCTGTACTTTTGGATTTTGGATTTTTGGATTTCTGTTATTCAGCCACTCACCTGTAAGTGTGCTCGCTTTTGTTTGTTTATTAAATCCCTTCGTTATACCATACCTGCTCCGCTCTGTGTCCTGCGTTTGGGTTCTCCAACCTGCCTCCACACCACGATCGTGACAGGATCATAGTACACATTTGTGCATTGTCTTGTGTGAGTTACAAATAAATTCCAATAAAAACTTTCATAACCATGCAGCTCTCTCATTAAATACTTGGCCTCTGCTCATGTTTCCCCCTCTCCATTTTAGATGTTGACAAAGGACTCAATTACTAGTCTCTATTACATTCCTTGTTCAATGTCACTCATTGTCACTTTACCTGAATTAATGTTCTAATTTGTGTTTCAGACCTAACTTTAAGAGACCGATCAGCAGATATAATTGGTGAGTGATGTCACTGATCTCTACATCTGTAATGTGTGCTACAACTCTCTGGGCTTCAGGATCATTGAAACCTTTTATACCTTCATGTTGACTAATCGTCACTGAAAACACCATTTATAAATCATCACTAGAGATGGACAGCATGTCCTATGCAGAAGTCGAACTCCTCTTGACACTAAATATCAATACATCTCATTATGAGATATATATTAAATATTAGATCTACAGCCATGTATCTGACAAAATACATGGTTTAAATATTCTGGTTTTGATGTTACTGATCTCTACATTTTTAAGACACAGACACACAAAGTTCACTCTGATCTACTTGATGTGGTTCTTTAGTCCAGCAGCTCAGCTTCTACAGACTATTTCACTGATTCAAACAGAAACATTAAAATGGCTCCAAGTTTATTTCCTGTTAAACGTACACTTAGACCCGTGCTGTGTTCTTAGAGGCACCTGCAGTGAAACTACCTGTAGCCAGCAGCAGCACTGTTTGACTGATCAGTTGAAGCTGATGTAACATCTGAAGATGTTTTGTTGTCTTGGTTCATTATGTTAAAAAGACACTGTTTGTATTAAAGTGATGTTGTTCTGTCAAACATCTTGAATATCACCCAGCTCTAAGGTCACTAAGTTGTAGCACAGACATTGCAGATGTAGAGATCAGTGACGTCAAAATAAAGACTCACCACTAAAACACACTTTTGAAACCCTGTATTTTATATTTGAATTTAAAGCAACATTTTCACCTGAACAATCTGTTGCAACGCTGCTATAAATTCCACCTTTTCCTCCAAGTTTATGTTCAGTTTTTGTTGACTTTGAGATATGTGTCTTTATTTAGTTAAAGGTGGTGTTGTATTACAATAAATTATACTAAAAGGTGTTTCTTTTATTTCTTTTTTTGACAAACATGAGTGGTCAGAATAATAGAAACACCTCTGAATATAATGCAGTCCAAAACAACACAATGACTAATCATCATTAAAGAAAACTTAATGGCAGAACAGTTGTGTTGGATTGCATCAGACTGTACAGGTGGACCTAATAAAGTGGCTACTCACACAGTTAGGGGTGCACATGCTTTTAAAGACCCTGTTTCATATTTTATAACACATGTTTATTTTACTTTAGTGTAACAGTGTCGATCAGACAACAGATTTCATGCGACGTCATTTCAAGATAATTTTTTCAGCTCAACAAATGTAAAAATTGAGTTTGTCCAAACGTCTTCACTGTATCTGAGCTTCTGTCATGATTGAGTCAGAAACAGTGTTTGCAGCTGTAAATAGTTTCCAGACTTTTGGTAGAAGTTAGAAATGTTTGAAATATCATGTCCTATCTAACAATGCTGGGAGGAGCAACTGAGGCTGATACTGTGCTTTTCTGTTCCTCTGTGTTTTTCTGTTAAACACACTTTAATCCTCATTTACAAGCAGAGAAGAGACGAACAAGAAACATCACAGTGTTACATTTATAATCCTGTTATTGTCCTTTTATAGCTGATGTGTCTGTTTACTGTGTTCACAGGAGCATCTCCAGAGCCGTATGTCAAGATACTTAATCAAACGCAGGACGTGGCCCTGCTGCAGTGTGAAGTTCGAGGTGCTTCTCCAAAACCTACAGTAGAGTGGCAGGACAGTGCTGGAAACAAACTTCCTGCTGAGGAGCCACAGGTCTCAGAAAGAGGAGGCAGCTTCTACATCATCCTCCAAACTACTGTGATGAAGACCGACAACTATCGCTGTGTAGCCACACAGGAGGAGATCAAACATCAGATTCATACTGAGACCTACCTCTATATCGGCGGTGAGATTCTTCCTAGTGGTATTTCCGTAGTTGTGTTATTAGTTTTCAAACATGTTTAAGTGTCTTCAGACTGAACTCAAAGCAGGTTGTGATGAAGACGTCTGCAGAAGTGTAAAAAGTGTCAAACTGAGTGAAAGCTTCACTCTTATACTGAGACTCTGAGACTTCATGAATCTACAGAGATGAGAGGAAGAATGAGAGGGTCTGCAGGGAAATAACAGAAAGAAACTCTGAGATCAGTCTGATCAAACACAGGAACACAAGAATTTAGTAAACTTCACTCACAAACCCAGTAACAGATTTATAAATGGCTCCTGTCAGTGGGTGGGACATATTAAGCAGCACGTGAACATTGTGTCCTCATAGTTTATGTTAGAAGCAGGAAAAAGAAGCTGCTGAAAAAGTGGGTGCTGGTCCTGATAGAAATGTGTCAGAACACAGAGAGGAGCCCAGGCCTCGACTGGTCAGGGCTGTTTTGGCGGCTAAAGGGAGACCTACATAATGACCAGCAGGTGGTAATAATGTTATGGCTGATTGGTTTATAATTAGTATCGATTGCAGAAAGAAAGATAAATAAATAAAGAATAATAAATATTTGTTGATATCTATTAGATCTACAGCCATCTATCTGACATGACAGATGAGGAGAAATCTGTGGCGCAACACTGTTGGATCACTAGAAGCTGATGAAGCATCTGAAGATGTTCTGTTGGCTTGGTTCATTATGATAAAGGACTGTATGTATTAAAGTGATGTTGTTCTGTCAAACATCTTGAATATCACCCAGCTCTAAGGTGACTAAATTGTAGCACAGACATTGCAGATGTAGAGATCAGAACATTAAAATCAAGACTCTCCACTAGTTTCTCCTGATGTGTCTTTAAGGTCGGACTCTGTGGGTCACGATGTAAACGGCACATCAGCCTTTTAAACTGTTGGTGAAACTGTGTTCAGTCAGACTCTAGCACTGCAGTAACGGCAGCACGCTACAGATCACAACACAGAAATCAGCCAGCTGCTTAGTCTGTAATCTCACTCCCTGCAGTTACACTGAAAGATGCTTTTGTTGTAATTACAAGATACATTTTCTGTGATTTTAGCTTGATTAATGTTAAAATCAAATATAAAATATATATCATGATATTGTGTAGGGTTGCAACTAATAATTATTTTTATTTTTGATTAATCTCTTGTTGTTTTTTTATAATTAGAATTTTTTGTTTATAAAATGTCCCAAAAATAGTAAAAAGAAAAGATTCCACTGTGTATTCGAGCAGGACGACATCAGCCAAGATCAAACCTAATCACTTTACCAGGTGAAATTCATCCCAGTGATCTTTTCTGAAAATAGTTTTAGATGTTTACATGGTGTTATTTTAATGTTCATAGACTTTAGCAGCATGGTCGCCTCAGTAGTAGTTCTGTGTAGGTAATAACCAGTGTGCTGTACATGATATACAGTTTACATTCTGAGTGTGACTCTAGGTTTTGTTGTGTGTTTCAGAGAAACTGTTTGAGGACACGTGCAGCAGAGGGGACGTCACAGGATGGTTTGGTGGAATCGTTTTAGGAGCTGTAATTCTTGCTGCAGTTCAAGCTTCACTTGTAGCTACAAAGCGCATCACAGTACGCTGTAATAAAGGTGAGTTTATATAAATGTATCAACATATTCATCATGTGCAGACATCAACGTAACAGATACTTAACAGAGACCGTCTCTCGTCACAAGGTTATTGTTTTCTCAGATATATTATGTTGGACGTTTTGCCTTTATTTGACAGGAGCAACTGAAGAGAGAGAGGAAACCTGGGAGAGAGACATGATGACACTGAGCAGAGCATGTGGACCTGTGTAATCCAACCTTAGCGCTCCACCAGGTGAGCTACTGAGGCGCCCGTTAAGTTCGTATTTACATTTATGAAAAAGAAAATCCACTGAGCCTTTATTTATTTGTGAGGCCTCTGGTTCTCATTCTGATTGTTAAAAATAAATATAACAAGTTATAAATACATAACTGTCCTTTAAATGGATGGTTTGATTTCACAAATGTGCAAGGAGACATCTGGGTAATTTTAGACTGAATTTTGTGTACAGGGTACTAAGAGTCAAAAACAAAGGGGAATAATGGGAAAACATATTTGATGGTCAGAATGGTTTTATCACTGCAATATTGTGATACAAATTTGGTAATATGACATTAATGAGGTAATATGGGTTGATGTTGTCCCACTATTATCGGCTACTATAAACACAATACCTTCAAGATCACGTGCAAAACATCCCGTCTTGGTTCAAGGTAATACTGTCCAAATTAGAGCCTGACCAACATGGGGGTTTAAGACCAAACTGATTTTGATATTTACGGATTTGATATATCGGCCGATATTCTTTATTTACCTTCTCAGAAACACTCAACATAAACAAAGATTTTCCCTGACATTTGTCGTGTGTAGTTATGAGACCACATCAAGATAATGTGACATAATGCAGTTAAAAAGAATTCAGAAAGTATTTTGAAAAAAAGTCCAGCTGATCTTGTCAGCTGATTGCAGTGTTTTCTGGTGGATTTGTGGCTCAAGAAGGTGTTAACAACAGGGGAGCTGCAGATAATAGATAAGATAATAAACACTGATTCAGATTTATCTGATATGAGCCTTTATCGATTTATCGGTCAGGCTCTAGTACAAATTATATGTTTAATGCTGTGACTTTTTACCTGGAAACAAAATAACCCTGAATCATGTTTCTGTTTAATTTCATAGTAATTTTCTGTCCTTGCACAATGTAATGTGATGTATATCTGTTTTAAAGAGTGCACGTCTGTTTTCAGTATTGTTACGTCACTAGTGACGTCAAAATGACGTGTGAAGCAAACACACTGGTTCACTCAGGTAGTGAAACACATGGCTGCTCTGACAGGCCACTCTGGCTTTGACAGGTTTGAATCTTGGAGGGCGGTATTCTCATAAAACTGAACGATGGAGAAACCGTTGGTTATAGTATTCTGTGAATTTTGATACTTAATGGAATACTTTTATACCTTCACTTGAGTAGAATTTTGACGACTTTTATGGTAAACATAATACTTCTATCTTTCTGAAGTGAAGGCAAAGTTAGCTGTATTTAAAGCCAATTGTTCATTCAACGTGCGGGTAGATGGTGAAGAGGCAGAGTTTCTGTTCTTTGAGTGAAAGCTTCAGGGTTCAATCTGAAATCTGCTAAACCTGTTGTAAAGAGGGTGAAAAGATAGACCAACGAGTCAAAGCTGGAGTTACAGGCCTGCTTTGACTGCACTGACCGGAGTGTTTTTGAGGCTGCAGCCACCGACCTGGACGAACTAACCGACACTGTGACATCTTACATCAGTTTTTGTGAGGACACGTGTGCAGAGTAAAACGTTCCGCACATACAACAACCAACGCCTTCAGAAGTGGAGACAGAGTCCTGTACAACCAGGCCAGGAACACTCTGACTAAGGAGTCAAGACAGCAAAGAGATGCTACGCTGAAAAGCTTGGAAAAAAGCTTCACAGCCAGCGACCCTGCGTCGGTGTGGAAAGGCCTGCGGACCAACTACAGGAGACTTCCCCCAACACTGCTGGTACTCAACAACTGGCTGATGAGCTGAAGGGATTTTACTGTAGGTTTGAAAATCCCACAGTCACACCTCTCCCCCACTCCAAAACCATCTTCATCATCCATGAAGTCCTTTGAAAGACTGGTGTTGGCCCACCTGAAGGACATTACAGGCCCCCTGCTGGACCCCCTGCAGTTTACCTACATGGCTGACAGGTCTGTGGATGATGCTGTCAACTTGGGACTGCATCACATCCTGCAACACCTCGACTCTCCGGGGACACATGGAAGGATCCTGTTCGTGGACTTCAGCTCGGCGTTCAACACCATCATCACGGACATCCTCAGCACCAAACTCACCCAGCTCACTGTGCCAGCGGATCACAGACTTCCTGGCTGGGAAACATCACATCCAGCACCCGGACTATTAGCACTGGCGCCCCCCAGGGGTGTGTGCTCTCCCCACTGCTCTTCTCCCTCTACACCAACGACTGCACCTCAGGAGACCCATCTGTCAAACTCCTGAAGTTTGCTGACGACACAATGGTCATCGGTCTCATCTGGGACGGTGATGAGTCGGCCTACAGACGGGAGGTTGATCAGCTGGCTCTCTGGTGCGGTCAGAACAACCTGGAGCTTAACACGCTCAAAACTGTGGAGATGACCGTGGACTTCAGGAGGAGCCCCCCCCACTCTGCCCCCCATCACCATACTCAACAGCCCTGTGTCTGCTGTGGAATCCTTCAGGTTTCTGAGATCCACTATAACCCAGGACCTGAAGTGGGAGCCCAAGAAGGCCCAGCAGAGGACGTACTTCCTGCGCCAGCTCAGGAAGCTCAACCTGCCTGAGGAGCTGCTGATCCAGTTCTACACAGCCATCATCCAGTCTGTCCTCTGCACCTCCATCACTGTCTGGTTTGGATCTGCCACCAAAAAGGACAGGAGCAGACTACAACGGACAGTCAGGACTGCAGAAAAGATCATCGGTGCCAACCTGCCCTCCATTCAGGAAACAGGCAGGAAACATCACTGCAGATCCATGATGAACAGCTGATTTCTGACTCACAGTGTCAAGAACAATTCTTGTGCAATAACCCAGTAACTCTGTCTCTAATCAGCCACCTGTTTACTGGTTACCACTTATTATTTATTCATCATTCTCTATTTCAGTGCTGTAAATACTGTCAATTGTAGATACTGTATACAAATCCACCTACCTCAAGTCATAACTGCTGCACAAACTACTTGTGATGAACTACTGATTCCGATTCAAATTAAAATTCTGTATCATGCATTATTAAAAGTATGGGGTATGAATGTAAGTGGTTTCAGTAGTGTCCGCACAGGATGATGGCTAAGTGTGTGTAAGGGTGTTGGAACGAAACAAGGTAATACCACTAAAGCAAACATATCCAAAAACCAAACCAAAGGTGGAAGAATCAGTCAGCATCAGTCAGCAGGGAGGTCTGTCCCCTCAACCCAGCAGAAGCTTTCTAAGAATGAGAACAGGAAGTTAGAAGTACTGTACAGGGCAATGGGCCCCGGTGCCCAGAGTTACTGCAGTCAGTCTCGGCTCTTCACCCGCAAGACAGAGAGAGATTGGCCGCACCCACATATAACCTCACAGGGCGTCACGAGGAGTCCACACACTGTAGCCCCCTTTAAGGGTAACTTCTGTGATATTACTGTATTTGTCAGTGGAGTCTGGAGACTTGGAGCAGAACGATATAGTGATTCTGGCTGAACAAAAAGTACTTTAAAAAGTATATCTCTGTAGGGATCCTTTCCATAATGTTGTCAGAAACTCTCTAGTTAATGTTCTTTGCACAGTTGCCCACAAGCGTTACGTTGGTTTCGCTGCTGCCGACTGCAGAGCTCTCACTCTACACTGGACCAATTTATAAAAATGTAATGGTCAGTTGTTGGTTAGAATCACTCACATTCTCCTGCAGCCTCCTTAGTGACTGACAGGTCAACCTCACTCTGACAGATCAGTGAAGATGTAACGAGTTTCACAAAGGTTGTTTTTATCACAGGGAGTTTGGATTAATTTTATCTTATCAGTTTTTCTGATTTTGTTTTTATTGTTTAGATCTCCAAACATTTCTGAACCCTGTTTGTTGCTTTGATTGTTTTTTTTACTTGTTTTATAATCATATCTCATTTGTATTTTCTCCTCTCTCCATAGACTGTATAACAAAGTGGACACCATGACTTCACCTGCTGGTTTGTGGACTTGCCTTTTTGAAGACTTGAATGTGGCATATTGGCCGTAATCATTTGGGGTTTTTTAAACAGAAGGGACCAAATTTACACTAATCAGGAAAGTGTTTACTCAGGTGATAAATCAAGTGAGAAGTCGGGTCATTTTTATTTTGACTTCTCTGCAGTCAGACTTGTTTTAGAGGTTCCCTCTTGCCTCTCTCACACTGTTGAGTGAAAACTGAATTATCCACTGGACTGTGTTAAAGACATGATGGCACCTAAATGAAATAGAAGAAGTTACACACATATCTCAACAAAACAGAGCTTTAAAAAGGGACCTGTAATGTAGCCTATATGTATGTGTGTATGTGTGTATATATATATATATATATATATATATATATATATATAATAATCTAACTTGTACCTTGACCATGTAGTGCCAAGTTTGCAGCTTGTAAAATGAGGCATCAACTCATTTTATCAGCTGTTCGATGAACCTCTGATCAGTACTGACCACTGCAGATCCTTTTGGAGATGCTATGACCCAGTCTTCTAGTCATCACAGTTTGCTCATCTCAAAGTCGCTCAAACCCTCACGCTTACCTATTTATCCTGCTTCTGACACATGAACTTCATGATGTCTCATAGCTCTATAAACACCAGACATGTGATAAACACATTTAGGGTCCCTGTCCTACACCTGATGCAGAGAGCCACGAAGCACCGACGCAATAATTTTCCCGTCCAGCACTGGCGCCCAGGGGTTTACAGCAGTGGTCGGCAATGGGCGGGTCAGAACTGGACTTTTAAAATAAGATTACAATGTGAAAGATTAATATTATAAATCTATATACTTTATAGTATGCTTTATTATGGTTAGGCCTACTTGTAGGGGTGTGACGAGATTCGAGATTGGGTTCTCGAGATGAGATTTTAACACTATTTTAATTTTATCTTTAATGCTGAATTACATGAAAAGTTTAAGCAGAAAGGCAAGGCAAGTTTATTTATATAGCACATTTCAACAACAAGGTAATTCAAAGTGCTTTACATAAAACATAAAAGCAACAGGGAAATATAAAAAAAGTTTAAAAGCATCATAGTTTTCCAATTCATGTGTGACTTGATACATGTGAAAAATGTCAATTGCGTGAGTCTCGTGATACAAATTTTTACCTGACGAGATTTCTCGTCACGTTTTAATCTCGTCACACACCTGGTTACTTTATTATAATGATCAGATTTACAGAATTGCAGTAATGGCGACTGAAAGTGGCCAAACATAGGAATTTAAAAAGACAAGCCAAGAGACGAAGTACAACCTTTTTGAATGATGCACCTGAGCCTTTATTATAGTAAAGACTTATTTTAACACAAACCACAACAACTTTTTAATTATTCCTCCACTACACCATTTCATCCACTGTCATTCATCACAACGACAAATTCATGTTAGTTTAATCTTTTGGTGGAACGAAGAGAACGAGAATATTCATGTCGGACTTGATGTCGAGTAAAAATGAACCAAATTGTGCCTTTTGTTTCGTCCCAGGTGTGAAAAAGACTTTAGGCAGCTAGACAGGGTCAGGACTGAACTGCTGTGAATGTTTAATTGTTTGATTGTTTAAATATTTTCTGTGTACTTAATATGTATGTAAAGATAAATGTAATGTTACTTTTGTTTTGTTATTTTATTCATCACTTTATATTTATCACGGTGTCAAGAAGGAGCTGCCAGTTAGTATTTATGCTGAGAACAAACCGTATGTATCATCATTTATTAAGAGCTGAAGCAGAGTCAGGAAGAGTTCAGTATTTCTCTCTGGATATTATGTACAGCATTATGTGTTTTTTACAAATATATTTTCATGTCTACAAAAAGGCTTTACAATCATTAACCCCTATTTTTATTTTGAGGGAAATAATTGACTGACCCAACACCTGTTTTTGGATTCTCAAAGTCTTTGAAGACAAAATGAATGTAAGCTCTTTAAAAATCTGTTTCTAATAAAATGCAGTCAATCTATAAAAACAAGTATTTCAAACTCATTTCATGTTTATACTTTGAGTTATAGAGTTAAGAACAGTCACATCAGGGATTTCCAAAATTCCAGGTGAACAACTTTTTCAGTTCAATCTGAAGCTTTAAGCTCTCGGACACTTTTAGACAAAGTTTATTTGCTGCTGGACATTTCTTCACAGACTCTCCCTCATTGATCTTCAAGTTAAAGTTTATAAATAAATCTCAAAATTTGTCCTGAAATTAAAACTGCTAAAAACCAATTTTCTGACCTGAGTTTCACACAGAGTATTCAGTCTGTGTCGGGGGTCCTGAATAAGCCCAGACAGGTTTTTGTCCTGACTGTGGGTGATGATCACTTTCTGCTCTCATTGTGTTAATATGTTCAGACAGCAGGAAGATATGCAGTTATTCAGGAGGAATGATTTGGACAACCGTTGAACCCTGTGGTCACAGGTGGAAGAAGTACTATCAACAAAATACTATACTACTATAAAGTATGAGTCTTTCTGCAGTAAAAAGTCTCCTGTGTGATTTTATTAGTTACTGATTTATCAGCGTTAGAAACATCTGCAACAGCTGCTCAAGGTTTTAATATAAAGTTTTTTAAGGCCAGTGGTTCCCAACCTGGGGGTCAGCCCCTTCAGAGGGTCACCGAAATAAATGAGGGATCTTAAGATGATTAATGGGACAGGAAGAAAGAAACAAACCGATACACAAATAATTTGAGGCAGAAAGAGGTCAAATTATCCAACATTTCTCAAAAAACACACATTTATTTAAATGAAATAAAAACTATAAAATATTTAAGGGGAAAACCAGAGCAGTGGTGGAACTAAATACATTTATTTTAGTGTTATATGTATTGAAATCCTTTCTTTAATTTTCTTCCATATTAAGGGGTTATGCTGCATTCAGGCTCAGTCTGCAGAATGGGAAGAACAGGACAAACACCCTTATTCTGACTTTGTGTTCATGCATTTTAAAAAGTTCCCTCACGTCACCTGTTACAGTCATGGAAGGTTTCAACGTACAGGGTATTATCCCTCTTATATATGGCAACTTAAAAATATGCTTTATCTAATCTACAAAAACTTTTTACAAATACACACTGAGTTTATCTCCTTCCAGCCAATCAGAACAGAGAATTCTCAGTGGTCATGGCATCAGAACTATATTTAATCTGTCAGCTGGAGTATACTGAACTAGTGAGCATATAAAATAAAAGGCATTGTTATAAAGTACATCAAAGCATCTAACAGGTAATAAAATCAGCTACAACATTTTAAATACCGCTTTAATGTGTCAGCACAAATAATCCAATAATACCTGTAAGAGCGTTTTGTCTGCATTATTTTTAATAAATTCTGCTGATAATATTTTTCTACTATATAGGTTGCAGGACCTTTACACTTTAACACAGTATTTTTACAGTTATTGCTTCATTTACTTCAGCCTGAATGGGTTTGACATGATACAGCAGATTTGCCAAATGTTGAACTCGTAATGCATAAATGGTTCTGATTATTAACAAGTTAGTACTTAGCATTAACAAATTAAAGACCAATGAATATCATTTTTCTTGCACTAGAATTGAATTAATGAAAACAACCTACAAAAATTAAAGTGATGCAATTAGAATTAATATTATACTAGTGGTAAACTTTATAGTATACTATTATTTGAAATTATGATCAATATAGTAACAACACTAAAATTATATAATCAAGAACTGGAAAGAGTGAAACTTTTTTTATGGTTTGATGAGGGAACTGCATGGACTGTACATATTCATAAAGTACTAGACAAAGGTAGGAAAGTGCTAAATGTTTTGAGGTGTGTAGTTGGAAACGAATGGGGGGGGCAGACAGAACAGCTCTGAATGCAAATACTGTGATTAATTAGACAGTATTAGATTACAGTTGTGTGGTGTATGGATCTGTACGTCCCTCTAAAAGTTAGACAACATTTAATATCAGCCTTTGAGATCATGTTGAGGAATATTTAAAATGGGTCCACAGCAGCACCTCCTGGTGGAAACAGGAGAAATGACATGAGAAGAATAATCACTGAATTATTTACAGGCCGTAGTGAAGATCAGCCAACACAACACACTTTGATGGGAAAAGAAGAGGAGGTGGACAGTGACACAAAAAGCAAAAAAAAAAAGAGCAGCTTTTATTGTTCCAGATTAGTGATGAAGTATCAGTGTGCACAGGAGAAATGTTTGCAGTTTCGTTAGCAGTGAGGTAGATAGAGGAAATTAGGCCACTGGGGCGATCATTTGTTCGGACTCAGATTCATCACAAGCCAGTTTACAGAGCAGTGGCCAGACGGTTTGACAGAAGTACAACAAACAATGTGCAAAGTTCAAACGATGCGTCTCACAGACATCATTAAGGATACCAGCACATGTCAGCATCAGAGGAAATCAAATGGAAGATAAGGCTGCAAAGGAGGCTACAAAAGTGATTACATTGATGTTTTTGTTCAAACTTCACCAAATCCTGATAAATGTTGAAGGAAAGGATTTTTATTAAGTTCATAACATGTTTTGTACGTTTGTGTATTCAAACTGAAGTGTTAATACCTGTAGCTGTCACTGTAAAAGAGTAAAAGTTCTCTTGAGTCTGCGCTCACTGAGAGGAGGAAAGGATCTTTTTGCTGGTCGTTATTAGGAATTTATTTCGTTTTGTAGATAATACAACATAACAATATGCAGTTATACAGTGAATGCTAGTCTTAAGATGTAAACATGCAGCCGTGTCGTTCAAATATAAACCTTGTAAATACACTTTAGCAAGTCAGGCTATAAAGGAGACACGTGTCTTTCACTGCTACGGGGTTATGTGTGTTTATTTGCTAACAGGAGACTGCATGTTACAGAGCGTTTCTTGTTTCCTCTTGATTTGTACTGATACCACCGCTATACAGGCCGCATAAAAGGAGAACACAAGAGATGAGTTCTGTCTAATGTTTTTTCAGAATCTCAGAGTAATCAGTATGAATGAGAGGTCATGATTTTATTTGTTTGTTTGTTTTTGGTTCTAGTCAGTCTGATCCACACTCCATCCCAGTTGGTTACAGTAATGCATCAGCTGGTTGTTTGCCAACCGCCAATAAAATTCAGGAAGACGAATGATAAATAGAATTCAGTGAGCAAAAGCTTAAATATGAGGTAATGTTGTTTTTTAGTTTGGTTGTTTTTTTTTCCTTGAAACAGCCCTGGTGAGAAGTGCTCATTTTGAGATGTACATGTGTGTGAGACAAGAAGAATGACAAGATTCCAAAAAGGGGAGAAGGAGGAAAGTAATATGGTGTGTTGGACCTTTGAGGAGGAAAGGGTATGTATTTATTATGTGTGTCACAGAGGCTGTATAAGAGAGCTGCCCTAATAAGTTTCTCCTGTCAGGAATAAGGACATGTTGCTGCAGTTTGTAGGGTGTCGCAGTTGAGAGAAGAACAACTGCAATTGGGAACAAACAAAGTCCAGCGTCAGCATTGTGACTGAGATCCCTGACTGGTGAAAAAGAGTCAAGGACTCACTTCCGTTTTTTACAAAAAAGAGGTTGTGCGCCAAAGTTATAGTCATTAGTATTAAATACATTTAACTGTCAACTGTCAGTGTATTCGGGATATTTAACTTAAATGATCTCAGCTAACAGTAACTGAGGTTATCAGCACCGTTAACTAGTCCAGTAGATTTAAGGTCCTTCTCCAACATGTCGACAGTTCAGGAGCTTCTCTCCTTCTGTTTCTATCTGCTGACTTTGTCTGGAATAACACTTGGACTTCCAAATGGTAAGAAATCTCCACTACCTTTAACGTTAGCTAGAAAACAACGCTTCTGTCACATTCATCCACATTGACAGTCAGAAGATATTATATAATTACTAACATTAAGTTTACTTGTTAACATCCCTGCATATAAACTGTTAAGTCATCACAACAAGTTCAAAATAGTTTCACACCTGTAATTTGTTGCATTTCAGTTCTGGTTCGGTTCCGGTTTGTCAATCTGTCTATATTGTTCTGTTTTGTTTATAGTGTGTATATTTGTGTTTTCTATTCTGTAGCAGTATAGTAGTCTGTATAGTATTATCGTATGAGTAAGCACATCGTGAGCAATGTGATTCTGATTCTGTATATTTATGTACATTACCAGTCTACATCTTACCTGTCCAAAACTGGTTCTCATTAACTCACTCAGATACATTTAATGCACAACCTGTCATGGGGTACGCTGAGTGCAGACTTAGGTGAGGACCCAGACCCAGACCCAGGCAGAGGATGCAGTTCAACAAAACATTTACTCTCCAACAGAAACACTCAGGCTGACTCGCAGACGCAGGTAAAGTCCAGACAAGGCTGAAATCCAAAAAAAGGCGAATAATCCAAACCAGGAACTCAGAACACAGGGAACAAGGCGCAGCAGAACACTCAAGGTTGGACGACAACAAGGACCAGACAATCTCTAGATAAAAATCATGAACACTGTATGATCTTATAATTATTAAACATGAAGAGTCCCCCTGATTCAGTTGATGTTTATCATTTGGGCGCTGTCGTATGGGCTGTTGTTAAAGGGCCATCAAGAACCTTTTTATATTTGGTTTCATTACTGCTGCACAGTTAAAGGAGTTACATTTCACATGTTGTTTCATTCTGTGTGTTGATGTTCTGCACCAATCTATGGTGGAAATATTTTTATTTATGTAATGGGAAACACAAAATTCAGTTGGCAAATGACAAATTAAAATCTACAGCTATAATGTAATATAAAGTAGAGCAGCTCTCAGGCATTCTGTGTTGCTTTCAGTTATGTTTCTCCTGCAGGTCATGAGGCATGAGTCAGTCTTCCCTCTTCCCTGTCTGGGAAATAACGTGACCGTCACATTGCATGGGTCTTTTGTTTAGTGTCTTTTTGTTCCATGTGTGTTTCTACTGTTCTGCCTTGTTTATTCTTGTGATGAGTTTATTTGTTTTGTCTTGTTCAGTCTTCACCGTCCCTG